TCCAGGTCTGGGAGAGCCAGCCACAAGAATGAGAGGAACCTCAACTAAGAAGTGGGCTGCTGCCTCGTTTCCGACTATGAGTTCAAGATCAATCCCCATGATTGAGCTAGGCAACTCCTAGTGAGGCACAAAAGGTACCAAACTGCTGGCTTTCTAATTCCTTGCAAGCAGTAAAGGGCACCACCAGGCCCGGGCTCACAGAAGCAGTGTCTTCTTAGTTGGCAGCTGTGTGAGCATCATCTTTGGCTTTATGCTTTTTAAAGACTTATTAATTTGTTTGAAAGGCAAAGTTACGGAGAAAGAGGAGAGACAGAAAGAGGGAGATTTTCCATCTATTGGTTCATGCCCCACATGGCCTCAACCACTAGGTCTGGGCTAGACCAGAGCCAGAAGCCTCATCCAAGTCTCCCACATGGGTGCCAAGGCCCAAACAGTTGAGTCAACTTCCACTGCTATACCCAGGCACATTAGCAGAAACCTGGACTGGAAGTGGAGCAGCTGGTACCTGAACTGGCACACAAATGGGATGTTGACCTTACAGGTGGCAGTTTCGCATACTACAACACACCTTAGTTCCCCCATACACACACTGTGGTTTTAAATTTGGTCAGATCATGTCTTTCAAGGAGATCTTTGAAATCTGAAAGCTAAGCCTGAGAAGGCTCCCTGATGAGAAAAGGCAAACACTGGTTTGATATTGAAGTCAAAGAATTGATCCTATTGGCTAGCCAGGGAATTGACAGGCCAGGGAATGTACTTGGTAGAGCTTAGGAGGACAGGAATGGAGAAAGTGGGGAAAGAATAATTCTATTAGATGATGTCAGAGAAAATAGCCCTTGCCAGAGGAAGGAGAGGCAGGTGTATGGTCAAACTACCTCTTGGGATGCCTGCATCCCATATTAGATTAATCAAATCTCATACCTGGCTTTGAATCCTGGCTCTGTTCCCAACTCCAGCTTCCTGCTAACGCACACCCAGGGAGGTGTGAAGGCTCAAGCAGTTGACTCCCTGCCACCCACACAGGAGACCTGGATAGTTTCTGTTTCCCAGTTTTGTGCTTGTGAGCATTTAGCAAGGGACCCAGTGGACGGGAGGTGGGTCTGAGTTTGCTCTCCTCCTTCTGTTTCTTTGTCTGTATCCCTAAAATAAATAAGCATCAAAAACAAAGACGAATATGCTTAGTAAAACAACAAATAAAACTTGCACTTTTGTGGTTCAAAAGTGGATCCGTACAGACCATCTCCACTGGCTCAACCTGGTACATGAGGGAACACTGAACCATCAGCCATCAGCATGCACAACTTCCCTGTGGAACAGCTGGAACTGTTTTCTGCCAGAGCATCACCACCCCTTCCTTGGTGGAATGCAGACAGTGGGTGTAAAGGCCTGGGACCGACTCACCCATCTGGAAGAGAAGAAAAAAGCCAATGTGTCTCTGAGCAGAAAATCTCATCCAGGGAAGCCCCAGGTGCAACTCAAGGAGTCGTGAGCTAAAGAAAAATGACATCTCTCTCAGGAAAGAAAAGTCTACATTCTCAGATTTGGTAAACAAACTGGAAATGTCATGCAACTCGTAGCTTGCAGTTCTAACTGTGTGACCAAGCCACAACATGAAGAGCCTTAATACACAGGGCCAGACTATTCAGAGCATTCTCTCTCTTAAGTGGAGTCAGAGATCCAACTGTACTCCATGACCACTCACCATTCAAACATGGAACTTGGTTCCAGATCCTTCCCTTCATTCAGGTACATTGTGTACAATCCTATAACACAGGGAACTCACGGATGCTCATGGGGCTCCATCACAGCTGTGCCACAGGACAGTAGTCAGCAGTGAGCAGGTGCATGAGTGGGCAGGTGATGATATCATCAACAATGATGAGATGAAGGATGGAGAGCATGGGGAGAGGGTGAGCTCATCAGTTAGCAGCAGTGGGTAAAAAACAAGAAGAGTCTCTGACACGAGCCTGAAAGTGTGCTCATTCCTCAACTCGCAGTCCAAGCGGTCAGTCGGTGGGTAACACCACCTTCAGTTCAGGATTGAATTTTCTAGGTGCAAATCCCAACCATCCCAGATGGAATCACTGTCTCCAAACCCCAAGTTTTCCCTGCCTCATGTGACCCCACTCCTCTTATCTTTAGGGGGAAAATTCACGCTTTTCTTCTCTAAGTTTTCATTATAAGAATTTTCTTGGCTCCTAAGACTGGCGGGCACATCTCCAGCGCTATCAGACTTCGCTGCTGGTAGTTGCAGAACTTGTGTCAGGACCAATTTTTTCTCTGTCATGGCTCAATTAATCCTTTTACTTCCCAGAACCCTGAATCTCAAGGGTTTTGAGTTAACAATTACTAAGTCAACTCACCATTTAATCTTTGTTGTATCAAAGTAGCAATAAATCCCAGCCTAGAGGAAAGAAACCTCCTAAACTTCCAGGTCAAGGTCCTTGGCTAACCCAAGACGGGTAAGAGCAGAAGTCCCAGTTGCAGAGACAAGTTTGCCTCCATCCTGTGTGTGTCTGGTCTTCGCCTGTTTGTTTTAAGGGTGAATGGTCCAACTTGATAAAGCAGAAGAAATCTGAAATGTAAAATGTGATGAAATCGCCTCTTACTGGCAATTGAAAGCCTCTCAAAGTTTCCAACAACTAAAGCTAGCACCAGGACACTTCAGCAAAAGGTCATGGGAAAGTGGAATTAAAAGATAAGCTTCAAGAAACAGGCATTTAGCTTACTGAATAAGACCTCAGTTCAAATGGCCATCTTGCACATCGGTGTGTTCAGGTTCAAGTCCCAGTTCCAGATCCTCAGTCTGGCTTCCTGCCAAGGGAGATGCTAGGAAGTGGCAGGTGACAGTACAAGTTGTTGGGTCCCTGCCAAGTAGGTGACTTAGATTGAGCTGTCAGTTCCCAGCTCCAGTCTACTCCCAGTCCCAGCCATTGCAGGCATTTGGGGAACGAGTTGGCAAAGGGGTATTCCCTGTCTATTTCTCAAATTGATAGCTATTTAAAAAAAAAAAATACGTTCATGTTGGGACAAACATTTTTGACATCCGTGCATATCTTTCTTGGAATTTGCATTTCTGATAACCATGTCGAAGACCTTCATATGTGGTTGGAGCAATATCAAAGTCGTTGGTTCGATCCCTGTCTGACACACAGGAAAAACTATGTCTGCTTCACTCACTCCTGCACAGCCAGACTACACAGAGTAGCTGTTCAAAAAGATCCTAAAAGGACCTGGCACGACAGTTCAATTGACTAATCACAGTATCACATGTGCGCACTGGTTCGTTCAATGGCTCCTGCACTTCCCATCCTGCTCCCTACTTGTGGCCTGGGAAAGCAGAGGAGGTTGTCCTGAAGCCTTGGGACTCTGCACTCGCGTGGGAGACCTGGAAGAAACTCCTGGCTGGTGGATTCAGAACAGCTCGGCTCCGGCTGTTGCAGCCGTTTAGGAAGTGAACCAGCAGATGGAAGTCTTTCTCTCTGTCTCTCCTTCTCTCTGTAAATCCGCCTTTCCCATAAAAATACATATATATTTTTTTAAAGATTTATTTTTATTATTTTTTATTGGAAAGGCGGATATACAGAGAGGAGATACAGAGAGGAAGATCTTCTGTCCGATGATTCACTCCCCAAGTGAGCGCAACGGGTCGATACTATGCCGATCCGAAGCCAGGAGCCTCTTCCAGGTCTCCCACGCAGGTGCAGGGTCCCAAAGCTTTGGGCCGTCCTCGACTGCTTTCCCAGGCCACAGGCAGGGAGCTGGAAGGGAAGCGGGGCTGCTGGGATTAGAACCGGCGCCCATATGGGATCCTGGGCGTGCAAGGCGAGGACTTAACCACTTGCGCCACCGCGCCGGGCCCCATATATTTTTTTTTAAATCACAAAAAAAATTAATGTTATAAAAAAGCTATGTGTGGACTTCAAACTTTTTGTAGCCAAGTTAACTCATTTGTTAAGCCTATCTTCTCATGAACTTTTTTAAATACCTGGCTATATTTGGCGAGTTCATCACTGAATTGTCTATCTATTACGCTGTACGCAGGACATCTGAACTTGCAATGTTTTCTTTAGGAATAAAACAAACCTGAGAGACCTAAAAGCTGAAATCTTTCTGCGGTAGAAGAAAATTCAACTAACATGTAAATGATGTTTCTAAATATTTCTTGGAGACCTGCCCACTCCCAGACCCACCCAAAACCTGCTGAGCCAAGACCCTGGGAAGTAGGGAAGACAGTTATGCATCATCTATGCCTGGCAACTCCTCAAGGTGACTCTGGCTCAGCCTCAGAAACAGATGGAAGGTCTTCTTCTCTTTGATCCTCTCTGTATACTGCCTTTCCAATAAAAATAATAAATAAAATCTTTAAAAAGAAATAGTCAAACTAGATACCATAGTTAAAAAAATAATAATAATGTTTGCAGGCCTGGTGTGGTAGCCTAGTTACTAAAGTCCTCACCTTGCATGCACCAAGATCCAATGTGGGCACTGGTTCATGTCCTGGCAGCCGTGCTTCCCTTCCAGCTCCCTTCTTACGTTATCTTCAGTCTAAATTACTATAGTTTAAAAAAATATAATAATCAAGGGCCCAGTGTGATAGCATAGCGGTTAAAGTACTTGCCTTGAATGCTTTGGGATCCCATATGGGCGCCGGTTCTAATCCCAGCAGCCCTGTTTCCCATCCTGCTCCTTGCTTGTGGCCAGTTGAGGACGGCCCAAAGCTTTGGGACCCTGCACCCACGTGGGAGACTGGGAAGAGGCTCCTGGCTTTGGATTGGCACAGCTCCAGCCGTGGTGGCCACCTGGGAAGTCATGCACCACCACAGAACACACCCGGGTCTACAGGAATAGCGCTGTGTGAGGCACCCAGCTCTGTTCTTCTCTAGGTCAGCTCTGCACCTATCCGGACCCTGACTCCATCACACCCTTAGGGGGACAGCCCCTGAACCAGCATTCCCAAACAAAAGCTGAAAGCTGCTTCCCCTCTGCCGATCTCCTAGGTCAGGATGCCCATGTGCCCAGTTCCTTGAGCCTCCATCACATGACACCATGTCAACAGATTGCCCTGGAGCTCCAGCTGCGGCTCCTGCAGAAAGGGACATGAGACAAGGCAAGAGGAACCCTCTTTCTGACTCTTCACAAGGTAGTCAGTCCCTTCCGACTCCAGTATCGCACAACAGAAGCACCCACAGACATCCACACTGCAGACTGTTGGGAGAGGGGAGTGGATACCCTGGAGGAGGTTGCTATTTAGTCGCATTCCTGGTCTCTGCCCACTAGATGCCAGGAGCAAGCTGTGACTAGAAAAGCAATATCTCCCAAGCCTTGCCAAGGGACCCCCTGGGGGCAAACTCCCCGCGCTCTCCCCTACCTCTGTTAAGAACGCGCCAGCCAGCCAGCCGGCCAGCCAGCCTGGAGCCTTACGTGTAGGGATTAAAATCCTACAGGAGGTCTCTTGAGGGCCAGTCAGACCCTGGCTAGAATTAACAGCTGCATGACCTTGAGCCAGTGAGTTCACCTCTCCTGCCCGGTAGCTTGGGGAGATGGCAGGACTCACTCCATGGGGTGGCTGTAAAATAAATAAATAAATACATCATAGGGGATTGCAGGAACGCACCCGCGCGCGCGCGCACACACACACACACACACACACACACACAGCCTGCTCCGAAATTCTGTTTGCTATCTCCTGACGTTGCAATAAAAACGAGGTGTTTTCCCTCCTGTGTTGAGGTGTGTGCAGGGAGAACTCGACTCCCGAGGCAGGGGAATGTTTGTTTTTCCTTTCTTTCTTTCTTTCTTCCCTTTTTTTTTTTTTTTTTTTTTTTTTCAGCTAGAGTCCTGTTCGAAGGAACAACAAAGAAAACGTGAATTCTCTCTGTGTGTGGTTAGATCTCCTTGAGTTTTACCTCTGGGGGGGGCGGGGCAATCATTCCTTGTCCTTGAGAAAGAAAAGCGAGTAGAGACAAAACTCAAACTGCAGACTGTCGCCGCCGACACAGGTCGGACTGCTGGGCTGCACAGTGGCCCCCCGCAACAGGCAGGTCCTGGCTGCGCCTGGGTGGTCCCGGGCGGGCCGCGGGGATCGCAGCTGCCCAGGGCAAGAGCTGCGCCTTCTTCCCCCCCCTCCCCAGGAAAGGTCCTATTTGCCCCCTAAACGTGCAGCTCAGCTCGACTTCCCTCTCCGTTTCTATCTCACGCTAAATAATTGGGCGAGATGACTCAGGGTCCCTGGGAGACCCCGACTTTGGAGCCGGCGCAGAGGCGACACAAAGATCTAATCAAAGATCTAATCTAATCACGCGCGCGAGCAGGGGGAGCAGCCCAGGCTCCAGGTGTCGGTGGTTCTGGGACCCGCAGCGTCCACGCGCGCCCCTTGCAGCCGTGGAGCCGGGGACACCCGCACAAGCAGAGCTCGCATTTGCATTTGTCTGGGCAGTGGGCAGAGGCACTGCCTGCCCTGGGCATGGTCCTGGAGGGGCACCAATGACTGGGGCGGGCGAAAGGGGGAGTGCTTGGGTCGGTAAGGGTTCAGGCTGCAATTGGGGTTTCAGGTCAGAGTTAAGGGCTGGTGGTGGAGTTAACTGGTAAGGTTTGGGTGCTAGAGCTGGGATTGTGGTTGGGATCAGGCTTGGGCTTGGGTTTAGAGCTAAGGAAGGGAGTGACACACCCATTTTTTATTTTATTATTATTATTTTTTTTTTTTTGAAAGAGCTGCAGAGAGAGAGAGAGGAGAGAATCTTCTACTTGCTGATTCACCTCCCATGATGGTCCCAAGAGGCAGGTCTGGGCCAGGCTGGAGCCAGGAGCTCTGTGTGGGTCTCCTAGGCACTTGAACCCGCGCCTCCCCTCCCAGCTGCTTTCCCAGGGACTTCAGTAGGGAACTGGATGGGAGGTGGAGCAGCTGGGACTCAGAGCAGTGCCAGTATCCAGCATGCCAGCAACATGGGCAGCAGCTTAACCCACAGGGCCACAGTGCCCGCCCCAACTACGTTTCAACACAGGAAAAAGGAAGGAACTTGTTCTGTGTTGTCTTACGGCACTTCTTTCTACATAAATTATCTGTTATGTTTATATATTTTGCCAATGTCTTTTGCATCCACAATTTTTAGAGGAAATTCCACTCCGTTGTTGATTACAGGGTCTCCATTCATATAAATAAGCAGTCACTGTTTAGTATTTCTTTCACAACCTAGAATTATTCATTTATTTAAATAAAGATATTCTGTCTATATTTAACCCTGTTCCCACCATATGTCAGTAGTAGAAATATGTAAACTTCTCAGCTAGCTGGTAATTATGGCTCGGAGATGTCAAGCCCATTTTCTTGGTTGCTAATAAGTTTTGGTTTTGTTTTAAGGTATACAGAGAGAAAGTGACAGAAAGAGTGGGAATGTGTAGTGGCTTGTAGGTGAATCCTCTGCCTGCAGCACCGGCATCCCATGTAGGTGCCTGTTCATGTTCCAACTGCTCCACTTCCTAATCCAGCTTCCTGCTATGGGTTAGGGTTTGGGGAAGGCAACGGAGGATGGCTGGAGTCTCAGTGTTTCAAGATGGCAAAATTTTAAAAGATCAAATATACTCCGAAGTGGGTAAAGCCACTACCTGTGGCCTCAGCACCACCCCCATATGCCATCAATGGTTTCACTGTATTTCATTCCTTTACTTTCCAGCCTGTGTCTCATAGGTAGCAATCCCAATGTCCTTGAAAACATCGCTTTCTATACAATTGGGCTTTCTATACATCCCTACATGGCAGTCGAAACACCATCCTCAAATTTACCCAGAAAGTTTTAGAAACGGCTGGACAAACCAACCTCGGTAAAATGTAAGGTCCATTCAAGACTTTAAGTCCAATCAGAAGAGATTATCTTTAATAACAGTACACACCTAGACTGTCCATCCTTAAACAGCCAGCTAGTACTCATGCTTGAAGCAGAAAGCCGAGGAGAACGGAATCCATTCACAGTCATTTCCTGGATTCTAGCTAGGGCTTGCAATTACCTAATTTTAGAAATTAAAGGATTCGTGTGATTCTGTGAAGCATCCAGACCACCCAACTGCCTGCCTCTATAAAGAGAAATAATGATAACCTCCGTATCGGCCAGGTTTTCATCACTATAATCAAGCACTCGAAGCAGGCTGACTTTATAAAGAAGTTTATTTCTGGCTCGTGGTTCTGGAGGATCACAGTAGATCAGCTGAGCCTCACTGGTTGAGTCTCTGGCAACAATTTTCTTGATGGCAGAAGCCCAAGGTGGCCCAGGAGATCCGGTGGCATGAGATAGGGGACTTGCATGTCTGTTGATATGTGCCTATAGGGGGATGTCTTTCTTCTTACAAAACTACCAGGATGCAGTCACAGGAGCTCTATCCCAAAGGCCCCAACTTTAACACCACAATGGGATGACATGTTCCCTGCTTAGCACCCTTTAGTGGCGATGGCTATGTCCCCTATGTCAGGTTGAGAAGTTGTTGGCTTCATTGGACAAGAGGTGACAAACTCCATCTGTCCTCACACAGACTTTGTTGCTTCCTGTGTAGAAGTTACAAGGCCTGTTGGCTGTCTATGGCCACCCCAGAGTGTCCACAGACTGCTGCTTGCTATAGATCTTGGCCCAAAGCATTGTTTAACTTGCTTGTCTTCTTCCCTTAGAAGAGATACTTGAAGTCTACTGTTGGATTAGAAGAGCCTCTGTTGTATTTTTTGTGTGCATCGGAGTATGTTCTTTAACCTTACATGGGAGTACTTCTTACTGTGAAGATGGCCCAGTCGTGCAACATGTGCTCTGAGACCTGATCATACGTCAATGGGCTCTGTTCCCTGAGATCAGGCATCCTGTTGATCTGAAGCCCACTTCTGACCAGGCCCCCTATCCAGCCAGACCACAGTCCTGACATGCACCAGCAGGTGCAGTAGACAACCTTGGCCTGCCCCCAGCCCCACACTTTAACACATGCCAGAGGGTACAATTCTGGCCCTGGAAGACCCTCAAGAGACCCCTACTTGACCTGCCTCCAGACTTGATTCTCATGTGCACTGGCGAGTGCAACAGCCTGGATGTATATGGCTTCAATTATGAGAGACTTCAGCTTTGGCCCCAGCTGAGGAGTACACAGGGGTGATGACGAAAGAAAGAAGGCCAGCAGAACTGGTTCTTAGTGGGAATCTGTCCCATTGTCATCTAGTGAACAGCCAGAAGCTAGAGCCATCACCACTGACATGCAGGATGTCAGAAAAAGGGAGGAACGAGGCAGTGGGCCACATTCCACATCGGAGCAGGAGAATTCAGTTCTTGGCTCCGATTCCTTACTCCAAGTTGATAGTAATGCAAACTGCGGGAGGCAGTGGTGAGGACACCAGTCATCGGGTTCCTGCAACTTCGCATGAAGACATAGATTGAGTGCCCACACCCAGCTTTGGCCTCAGCCAAGCCACAGCCACTGAGGGCATTTGGAACGTGTGTCAGTGAGTGTTTATCGTTCTCCCCATTCCCCTCGCTAACAAATTAATTTTATATATATATACATATATATATGTTTTGCAAAGCAAACTACAAATTGGCATAATAGCCATGAACACAACTGGACAGATGGTGAAACCATTCACCAGGCTGTGTAGAGGTGGGTGTGGAACTGAAGAAGGAGTTGTGCATTAGTTTCCCCTACCCCACAGGGAACAAAAACACCATCAACTGGGAGGAGCTCACTTGTATTTCCACTGGCTAAGCCAGAATTCAGATACATAGCTCTGTTTCCTGTGTATTTATTAATTTTCTTTTTTATTTTTAAGATTTATTTATTTTTATTTGAAAGGCAGAGATAAGAAGAAACACAGAGAGATCTACTGGTTCACTCCACAACAGCCAGAGATGGGCCTGTCTGAAACTAGAAACCAGGAACCAGGGTTTCCTAAATGGATATAAGAACCTAAACTTGTGGGCCATTGTCTGCTGCTTTCCCAGGCCATTAGCAGGGAGCTGGATCAGAAGTGGAGCAGCCAGGACTCGAACCAGTGATCACATGGGATGCTGGTATAGCAGGCAGACGCTTAACTTG